TAAGCAACTGTGAAAGTGATTTTGTAAAGAAAACCCCCAGACCAGATAGTTTGAAGCAAAAATACCTTATTGATAGTTTGCATTTCATACTACAGAATATTAAGACATTTCTTCTAGGCTGCACATATTCAATGCAGACATTTTCTTGTGGTTTATCAAGAAGGTTAAGTAAACTTTTGCCTCTGAGAGGTTTGTACCATGAAGGCTAGCTACTTCGGTTTGTGTTGTAGTTTTGGTTCCTTTTTAAGCTCCAATGGTTTGAAACACCATTGCTTTTGCACAGTCCATATAAAAACCTTTATTGCAAGCTATATAGGATATAAGCTTTAAAATTAAACGAAAAATTTAGTGTTGTAATGTAACTTGTAGTTATTACAGAACATTCAAATAAAAGATCATTTTCTGCTGATTCATCCATATTTAACACGGGTTGAATTTTGGTAAAATTGATGATGACCAACCATATCTGACCAACTCTGGAACAGGCGAGAGTGATGCCCTACAAGAATGTGAACTCTGCCGTCTTGTCTGAACTAAATCATTTGGTCAGAGATTGCTGTAACTGGAGAAGTGTGGAAGTGGCGGAGTCCCGTTCTCCCCAAGTGATTGCCAGCCAGCATGCATTCAAGGGCACCACCAGGCTCTGAGCCTTTCGTGTGTCCCTCTGTGGGTTTCTCCAGGAGGATAATTGCTTGCCCCGTGTGATGCTCCAGTGACTTCCTCGTTTGCAAACACTCAGTGATATTTGGCTTTTGAGGAATATTTGAGGATATTTTGAGGATATTTGAGGAATTCCAGAATTCTCAAATATCTGACTCAGACAAGTACTGTTATCAGCCTGTACAATAAAATTATCATACAGTGTTTATCTAAATCCTTGTAAAATCCATTTGTAACATTTATACATATAAAGCTGACATAAATTTTGGTAAATCTTCATTTTTTAAAGTAGTTTCCATCTCTCTTATAAGTAAGAAACCCGTTCAAAATGCTATTTCTTCATCATGGCTTTGAGAAGACTGTATACAAAGGAGGAAGTGAGTGTTTTATTTTCATTTTTATAAGAACTATATCTGTTTTCACTAGAGGTGAGATGTAACAGAAACACATTTTCTTCTGCTTTAAGGCAAATAATACAATTACATTTTCTAACAATGGGACTTTAAAAATGTGAGCATCTAATAAAATATTTTAATCTATATAGATAGGTGAACAAGTAGATGGAAAGACAGAGTTAAAACACAGGCTGAAGTCTCAAGACTTGCTGCTCTCATGTAAATGAGAGAATAAATTTTACAGGCCCGCACAGCACAGCAGTGCCTAGATGATTGTGATACTACAGTTGGGACAATGAAGAAAACTGAAAACAGCGTCTTCTAGCACCACTGAGCAAAGTGAGAGAGTTTCTAAAGACACACATATTTGTAACCAAAAGTGCATCTTAGTGTATCCTTGAAAACATCAGCAAACGGTTTGTTTTCTTCTAATCACCGTTACAGCATCATATGGAGTTTGATGTTCAGAACATGGCAGCATCCTTTTGTTGCACTCATTGATCCTGTATGTTTGTGTATGTATATGTGCACTGAACAAACTCACTTTGGAAAGGAAGCTGATAGAGTTAAAATGTTCAATAGACATTGCCTCAGGACTGACCGTGGTAGGAAAAGAGCCTTGGGAATTTCTTAGAAAGATTTTATAACCCCACCTCACAAAGTTAAAAGTTCCTTCTCAAGTTTTGTGCCGGAACTGTTACCGTCACAAAATGCTATTTCTTCATCATGTCCTTGAACTGTGTGCTGGCACCTGCACTGTGAAAGGCTGAGTGAACAAGGCGTGGTCGCATGCCTGACAAGCAGAGGTCAGCATGACGGGATCTCCGAATAGACACCACACTGGGGAGTTCACAGGGCCAGCCTGTCTACGAGCCTGAGCCTATATGTGGATAGAAAAAGTGAAGGTATAAAAACATGCACACATATGTATATATACATATATGTACATACAGAACATTGAATTAGGAATAAAGTGCTGCATTTTCCATGTAGAACTATGTTTAATTCATTAACATTATTGACCATATGCAACGTTATGGGTCTTTTTTTTTGTTGTTGTTATGGGTCTTAAATAAACATGTTATGTCACAGAGTCTATTTTTTTTTTTTTGTGGGCTTGTGGAAGGGAAGTAGATTGTAAGCAAAAATGTAAGCAGAGAGATTAATGACTGTAAATTTAATGAGAACAACAATAGAGAAAACAAAATGAAAGACATGGCTCCTTTAGACTGTGATATCTGGGAAGTTTCCTGTAATGATACTGTCAGAGAAAGCCAGAGTGTGAGGGAGAGAACAGCCAGCCATGGGCCCTGAGGCAAGATGAAGAACCTTGAGCAGACCCAAAGGACAGTGGGAAGATAAGTAAGTCATGAATTCTTTCTTGTTTAAAATTGATTCAGGTTGTTCAGTGGAGAACACATTTTGAGAGGCATTTGGGAAAACGAAAACTCATTGTTATTTTCAACTTTACTGTGCACATACATAATAATTTGTGTCATTGCCCCAAATAGCCTTGAACAATCAATTAAACTTTATGCACTTAAATCCAACTTAGGCCATTTCAAATGTGTTTTTGATTGTTTGGCTGCAGATGATATGAGGAATTTATAATTATAGTATTCCAAATGGACTGCAGAAACTTTTTTTCCAAAATATTTAAGCCATGATTACTATCATTATTAATACAAAGACAAATATAAGGTTTCATTTCCCAGTACTGGCATTTGTAGCTACCTAATGTGGTATGAATTATGAAAATGGCTGTTTCCCTTCAAACAGGAAGATAGAGCATTATCTCATTTCCCCCAAAATTATAGTAATGTGCAGCTGAAACTTTCTAACCATGAAGATAGTTGTGTGTATTGATAAGAGATGCTTTTAAGAAGAGACTAGATAGTAAAAAGAGCAAATTGAGTAGGAAAAATCTATATTAGTGAGGTGGAAATCTTTGTTTTAGATGTAAATAATTTTTGATGGTGTTGCTGAGAATTAAACTCATGGCTTTATGCCCTCCAAACAAATGAGCTTCAATTGAGATGCTGCAATAAACATAATGATTTTATTTTAGTTATTAACTTTTTGAGGCAAGGCCTCACTGTATAGACCAAAACTTGTACACATAATGGTGTCCTTGAACTTGGACACCAGTTCATTCTCCAGCCTCTGTGTGTACAACCTCAGCCTACTCAAATCTTGCTTTTTCCAGAAAAATGTGATTGAATCCTCTCTACGCCTTTGGACTGCTTAATGGCAAAAACATGAATAAATTTACATAAAATGTAGTTCTTTATTACATACAGCAAGCATTTAAAATATATTTATTGGAAAAATAGTGAGGTGTTCTTTGATGTTGAAGAAAGAAAACAAGTCTGCACTGGTAAATAGTTTAATGTAAATGATGTGTATGCACTGTGTTTTTCAAGAAAACTATATACGTGCCTTTCTTTGTCACGTAAAATTAAAAGAACAACAGTCAATTGGTTAAAAAATTTTTTGTTTTGTTTTTTGGGCTGTGATTCACTGAGTATACATCAATTCCGGTAGTATTTATAGTAAACGGAGTGAAAATAGTTGACGCTTTTGGGAAATGTGTGGTTAACACTGCGTCTCACATGGCCAACAGACAAGTTCACATAAATATTTAACGGAAAGACGACAAACAATGAGATCCACTGACACAGGCCTGCACACGCAAGAGTAGCTCACTTACAAGGGCACAGGATGAAGTGCAGCTACACACAGAAGCCAGAAAAGCTCACGTGGTCTTAGCATATGCACCTAAGTCTTGCCACAATGAACAATGACATTTTGTACTGTAATTCAAGGTCACTGTTGAGCAACATTTACAAAAATATTTCAGACTCTGTAAGATTTTTACCCAGCACAAGTTTTATTATAGAAAAAATATTCCAAATTCCACCCTCATTCTTAAATTACCTCCCACAATATCTCGAACCATCTATCATTGCCACTGGCGACCTCACAGTGGGTAAGAGGAAATTCGTTTCAAGCAGGCCAGGCTCTGTGGACATACACTGTTTCTAATCATAGAAATAGTCCTCATTGGCTTGCGTTTCACTCAGTTGTCACAGAGTGGGCATGTTATGATCCAGGGCCTCTCAACAGTGAAGGGTCCGCTGCATGTGATTTCAGAAGATCTCCAAGGTAACAAGAAAACTACAAATGCCTTGTGTCTTCATGGGGGCGATATTCTCAGATGCCCTCTTCAGGCTCACAGCATGGACTGTGTTCCTACTTTACAATCAAACCCAGGAAATCGGAATGAGGCATCATTTTTGCCTTTTAGCAAGGATACTTCCAAAATTTACGACCAGTCAAATTTCCCAGGAAGCATGCAAACAAGCAAAAATGGAGCAGCTCATGAGACTATGCTCACAGAGAACAAGATAGGTAGAAAAAAGGGGTTGTTAAGTTTACAAAGTAAAGAATCGAGGAATACTACAAATGTCTGCATGGTATGGACCGGAGATGACAGGGAAACAGGACAACTTTTTCAACCAGGATTGGTTTTACTTTGATACATGAACTCCACGCTGCTGAAAGCTCAGGCAGGACTATGTTTCAACAATGTGCAGAAACCTTTGAACTAGAACATAGACTATATCTGTACTATGTGGGAGTGACACTATGTCTCACCTGCGGATCTACTGTGGGGAAACATATCATGAGTTTGAGTATAAGATACAGCGATGCTGATGGTGTCAAACAGCTCCCTTTGTAATGAGAATAAGCCAGTAGCCATATATGGTTATAGTGACATATCAATTTCTGACTTAATGTTATCATGTACTTTTAATTTCATCACTTAAATTCTCCCGATGCATATGCAGGCTACTCCCTGGATAATATGATGGACTATTACTCAATGTAATTGTAAGGAATATATGTGGACTAGAACTAACTGTCTTTTTCTCAATTTTTAAGATCCCGACTTTAAGGACCTTGGAGTTTTGAAACCATTGCCAGGTTGGTAACACAGAAATTTAGCACTATGCAGAGATCTTTGTTTTCTGCGATGAAGTACACTCTGGGTGTGTTACTCAAGGTCCATCTTTGTGTGTGTTTGGCATCTTATTATTTAGCGTGTGAGTTTGAGATGGGCGGCCCTGAAGGAATTGTGGAGTCCGTTCAGATTCTGAAGGAGGGCAAAGCTTCTGCCAGTGAAGCCGTGGATTGCAAGTGGTACATCCGGGCCCCGCCACGATCCAAGGTCAGTCCCCGAGCTGGAACCCCCTCCCAACAGCGGGCTTGAGAAGTACCTAGTTTTCACATTACCTGGTGGCACTGGGGCATGGGCCACATAAGCCGTAGCTAGAAGTCCCTTTGTTTGGAGATGAGGCTTGTGTACACCTCTCTAACCTGACTTTCCAGCATGAACTGCAGTGTGGGAACCGGTCAGCAGGTTGTACCGAGAAGAACAAGAGACCCTGAAGCAAGTCCGCCTCTCTGGGACTTAGACCCCAGTGCCAGGCAGAGTCTAGTCGGAGCAATTTTACACAAGTACCCTCCGTGAAAGTGCATGCAATTTCTAATCAGAGTTACCTCTGAGGAAGATATGCATAGGGTCTATGAAATCTTATCTCTAGTATGTAAAATACCAGCGTGCAAGGATAGACGTTGAGAGGAATCAGGAAAAATTTGCGCAACTCTGAAGAGGACAGTTCTGTATCTACCTACTAATATTCTTGTGATTGTTATGGGAAGTGTGGGGTGATATTACCTACTCTTTAATGTTTTTCAAGGCACAAGCATTCAAGACTTAATGTTGGACACCGTGATTTTAAGTGCTAGAAACACAATCTGATGTTTTAACTGCTGTATCCATCAAGTGAAATTAAAGACACATAGATAGACATAAACACAAAGGGAGAGAAAGGAGAAGAAAAGAAAAGAAAAAAGAAACTATCCAAGCTGATCCCTCTTGATAAGGAAAGAATGAAGGAAAAGACCACATAAAGAGAAAGCACAGGAGCAGCCAGGGCCTGGTTAGAGTGCCATGAGGAAAAGAACTGTGGCAGCCACACAGGTGGAGGGTGCTCACGACAACAGAGTGCTTCAGAGACCATGTGTGCAGAGGAGACAGCAAACCTGTCAGGAGTTAAAGCAGTAACATGTGATCAATGAGCCAATGGGTGTGCAGGGAGGCGTGTGTGTTAGCCTGGGGCTCTGTGGGTCTTTCCAGAAAATGGAAACTTTACCCAGGTGCTTAGGGGTATCAAGACCGAAGAGCAGAAAGGGAATGTAACTGTGTTTGCGTTTTAGAGCATTATATAGAAAGATAAAAGGTGGGGTAACATGACCAGAAGCCTAAGCAGGGAGAAGACAGTGAGTCCATGACTGAACTTACTCTTTTCTGGCCACCAATGAAGAAAATATTAGAAAAGAAGCCACAGAACTAGGTGGTGGGATACTCAGGCTGAGGGAAAAGTAAGGCAAGTTTTAGAACATGAAGGGAGCCAGCCATTCAAGAAGAACTTCGGTCTTTCCACACCAGATATACATACATATATATTTATATATGTGTGTGTACCTGATATAAATATATATGTGTTTGTGGTGTATGTGTATGTATATATAATATTAATATATTATATATTAACATATCATGTTGTATTAATATAGTATATATATAGTGAGTTTTCACAGCTAGACTGGACAAGTAAGTGAGACACTATCTCACCATGAAAAGGAGAAGAGGCTGTGAGTGCCTCCTGGCAGTACAGCACTTGCCTAGCCTGTGGGAGGCCCTGGGTTCCAACCTATATACGGAAAGGAGTTTTTAAGAAACAACTGGCATTTGTAATATAAAGTCATAAACACTCGCCTGGATGATGAGAGAGCTGAGCTTATCTCATACCCAATTTGTGGATTCTCAGAAAGTGCCTGTTTTTCCTTACCTTTATGAATGAGACTGTTCTCACAGGCAGCTTTATGAACAGAACTGTGGGCAGAGCACCTTGCTCTCTTTAACAGCACCTCCCCTCTTCAGCTTTACAGTGGCGTGTCAGCACACGCCTCCTCCCTACAGCTGCCAAGTGTGCTGCCTTTTGTAGAGTTCCAGAACAACAATGCCTAGTGCACCTGCCTGTCACAGAATCTGGCAGTCTGCGACCTAAAGGGGATGCTCCTGCAGAGCTGAACCAAGATGGTTCTTTTGTGACAGCCCTTTTCTGTTCAATTAAAGGTTGAGAAGACAGGAAATGGAACTGAATGCTGTGGAGAAAATCAAGAAACAAGCCCATGTGGGCTCCCTATTTTTGTAGATATCCTAGTGATTTGTGAGAATTAACTATCAAAGCACAAGTCAAGCTTGAAAGGGGTCACCCTGCATACTTGAATGGTGTCTCATGACTCTGCACTAGTGTGCATTTTAAACACATGTGCATGTTGTTGCTTAGCCTCTGACAAATAGTAAATGTACCAATATTTCCTTTATTGATATATGACCCTTTAATCAGAAACATGATCAGTCTGCCTTCCCAAGGAAAACCAGAGAAGTAACTATGGAAAAACATCCATGACAGGGCTATTTACAAATGGAAAGGTCAAAACAGTAGAGGTCTTTTTGAGTTGGCTATGGGGGATACAAACACACTTCTGGGGGTAGACTGCCTGGAGATTCTAGACAACAAAGGAGGTGGAAAAGATACTGGTTTGCCCAGTTATACACCTTGTCTAGAGAAGGGTCACCAGGGAGAAAACCATAGTGAGGAATTCAACCTGAATTCCTGAAATCCACGAGGGCTAAGTTGACTTTAGTAAAGCTTTCTGTTGAGGCTCACATAATTGTCTCAGCACTTGCTTTTTTATACCATTATGACATGAGGTGCGGAGCTTCAGAGCTGATAGTTTTAAAATCTTTTTGTAATGCATTACTTAGCAAATTCAGCTAAATTTACATGCTTTGCATATAAACATGGCACCACCTCCCGTATTAGTGAAATTTGGAAAACAGATACTACCAGAAATAGTTTATATGTTCTGAAGTCTCCTATGTCTTGTTCAATGAATCATCCTGTCAGTTCCAACCCTTTGTGATTGATTAAAAAGGAGAATGCATCAAAATGATTCACTGAGAAGAGATTTGGATCTGACTGTTTCACCAGAGTTATATATTATTCTGTTTATCATTTTCTCTGTGCTTTCACAGGGGTAGTAGAGAGTTCTTTTTTTTTTTCATTTTTTCATTTGTTACCTGAAATGAGTCTTTGTGTCACAAGTCTTATATACTGATTCCAATCATATTGACTGTCTTAAAACTCTTAAAGATGGGACTACTTCATATTAAGCTGTTGGTATGTTTAGAAAATCACTGTGTATACTTGGCCTAAATCCAAGCTTGTTGTATAAAGTGAGCCCTTTTCAAAACAATCGAATGCATAGATACTCACTGAGCAGATGCTAATGTTTGCTTGGTTTGTTTTGTTAGTTTATGAATATTTTTATTATTAATTATATATTTTTGAGTGTGTGGGGGGAGGGCATCTGCATCCTCATGTGAGTTCAGGAGCTCCCAGAAGCTAGAAGAAGGAATTAGACTGCCTAGAACTGGAGATAGTCATAGTTATGAGCCACCAGCGGTGGGTGCTGGGAACTGAATTTGGATCTTTTTATCATTATTATTATTATTATCAAATTTTTATTTTTTATATTAATTACAGTTTATTCACTTGTATCCCAGCTGTATCCCCCTCCCTCATTCCCACCTAATCCCACCCTCCCTCCCTCTTCTCCTCCCATGCCTCTCTCCATTCTCCATGTCCACTGAAAAGGGAGGTCCTCCTCCCCTTCTATCTGACCCTAGCCTATCAGGTCTCATCAGGACTGGCTGCATTGTCCTCCTCTATGGGCTGGAAAAGCTTTTTCCCCATCAGGAGGAGATGATCAAAGAGCCAGCCACTCAGTTCATGTCAGAGACAGTCCCTGTTCCCATTATTAGGTAACACACTTGGCTACCAAGCTGCCATGGATTACATCTGAGCAGGGGATTTAGGTTATTTCCATGAATGGTTTTTGGTTGGTGTATCAGGCTCAGAAAAGGCCCCTGTGCCCAGATTTTTTGGTTCTGTTGCTTTCCTTGTGGAGCTCCTGCCCTCTCCAGGTCTTACTATCTCCTCCTTCTTTCATAAGATTCCTTGAACTCTTCCCAAAGTTTGGCTATCACTCTCAGCATCTGCTGGGTAGAGTCTTTCAGAGTCCCTCTGTGGCAGGCTCCTGTCCTATTCCCTGTTTTCTCCCTCTTCTGATGTCCATCCTATTTGTCTTTCTGAACAATGATTGAGCATCTCACCCAGGGTTCTCATTCTTGTTTAGTTTCTTTAGATTTACAGATTTCAGTGTGTTTATCTTACATTATATGTCTAATATCCACTTGAAAGTGTGTGTCTTTCTGCTTCTGGGATACCTCACTCAGGACAGGTAACAAAAACAAGCGCACAGTGCCAAATGTCAAAGCTTGAGCCAAGCATGCAAGCTGATTTCCTACCTATTGCACCGCTTCAAAACTAAGTAGCCCTAGTGTTTATGTGTTTTTTAAGTAGTCATTTATTTCAAAGTGCATATTTATTATCTGATTTTTCATTGATTTCTATATCAACATGTGTCTGAGCCTTTTTAAGAAAATGGAAATTGTAGACATCTTTGGGATTTCCGCAGCTTTTTTGTTAATATTAGTAACCTTTAACTTTACTTCCGGGGTACAGACTGCATAGGCTGCCGTAAAAATACTAAAGATGTTGGCATCAGGCAGATCCAAAGTCCAAAGCTATGCAATGTTAAAACACCTGTGTCACTTCAAAAAATGACTTGACTTTTCTAAATCCCAGTTCTCCCTCTCTTTAACAGTTTTGCACTAATCTGTTACTGTGTAGGGAACTGTGAAGAAAAATAATAAATTTGGGTCGAGTTATTGCCAATATGCCACCCAGACTTTTTTGTAATGATAAATTACTACTCCAAACTTTGTTTCTTCTTGCAGTATAAAAACTGGAAAAGTGTCCAGGCATATTTTATCACTGAAATATTTGGACTTGAAAGTGTCAAAGGAAAAACTTTTTTCCTCTTGATTACTTATTTTCACTCAGTATTTTTATTTCTGGGAGTATAGATTTTCTTTTTTGTTAAGCTTTGTAAAACAGCTGGTATCCATGGTTATTTTGTGTCATGTCTCAAAAAGCAGATCCACTGTGCCACCTACTCCGGTGGATACTTGCCTGGTTGGCAAAACCGTGTGTCTCTCTATTGAGTGACATGTTCCTTTAAGAGGTGATAAACTATGCGGGGCTTATCCTAGAGTAGTTTAGAATGTATGTCTATTCTGACTTTTTATTACATCTAACATTTTTTTATCTTACAACAATCTGCAGATTCTAGCGTAATTTTCATAGAACTTTAAGTTTGCTGACTTTTACTCAAGAGACAGCAGAGTAGCACGATGAAAAGAATCTAAAATGCAGAGCTTATGTTTCTTACTTTATGCACTCACACTGATTTGATTTTTTAAGTGTTGTGGCTCATTCCTGGCTCCAGTTTTGTAGAAAAGATCATATGAAAAAATGTGTTCTTTCAAAAACAGTCCATGTGAGTATGAAATAGACACCGTATCACACAGAGCAAAAATTTGGAAGATTTATCATTTTTCAAATTTATGTTTTTTTTTTTTACTAAATTTATTTATTGTTTGAAAATCCCATACAGGTATAGGTACAATTTGATCATATCCATGCTTCACTTTCTTTATTTTTTTCTTTTCTTTTCTTTCTTTCTTTTTTCTTTTTTTCTTCCTTCCTTCCTTTCTTCCTTCCTTTCTTTTTCCCTTCCTTCCTTCCTTCCTTCCTTCCTTCCTTCCTTCCTTCCTTCCTTCCTTTCTTTCTTTCTTTCTTTCTTTCTTTCTTTCTTTCTTTCTTTTTATCTTTAACCTTCTAAGTCCAGTTCAAGCTGCATATGTGTGACTGGGCATTGGGCCATCCACTGAGGTTTAAGCATAGCCATGTGTCACATATCTAAAGAGGAGTGACTATCTCTCCCCAAGAGGGCAGTGTAGCTCTGCCACTGGGGCTGGGTTTTCAGAGTCTCAGCTCCCCATATCGACACTGGATGTTCTTAATTGACTGGATCTTGCAGAGGTCACATGCAGGCAACCACTGCCATGAGTGCATGTATCCGGTGTCCTTGTCACACACAGAGAACAGCACTTCTCTCAGCCTTCATCTCTGAGGCTCTCCTGTCCCTGTTCTGAGATGCCTCCTGAGCCTGGAGCAGGACACATAGCAGCAGAATAGCCCTATCAATGACTAACCACTTGCAGGGACATTCAGCACTTTGGACAGCAATATCTTATGGGCTGTCCTTTCTCCGCAGCAACAGGAAGCTTCTTTGACCAAGGGTGGAAGCCTCACCAATCCAATTTGTTGTATGAAAATCAGAGCGAAACTCCAGCTCTCCATAGTTGCTCAGTTCCATCCATTTCCTCATATTTCTCTCTGTCTGCTCTTCCATCTCAAGATTATGCCAGGAAGACCTGCTGTGCACCACACAGATCATTTCCAGTTCACATGGGTCTACAATATGTTGTCTTATACTTTAGACACTTCTAGAGCTATGTCATAATTTGTTTGGAGAGTTATTCTAAATAATTCTTAGTATTGATAGTAGAATGTGTGTATAATTATTATTTATAGCACTTAAAACAGTTAGATTTACGGATAGGCAATAAATGTATGATGAATGTAGAGCAAATGAGATTAATAAAAAAAAAGGGAGTCCTAGTAAGTTGAGTAGAGAGAAAGCACTGTAGGAACTTCAGCTGAAAGTATGATGATTCTAGTTGAGACGGTGTCTGTAAAGAAAGATGCTGCTGAAGCTAGCAAGTCAGCCAAGGGGAAGGCAGTTTCTCAGGAATGCGGAGACTGTGTCACCCTTGACACATCTGGAAGAAGGTGCTACAGATGGCGCCATCCCATGCCTTCAAGTGAAAAGCCTGTTCCTGGAGTGCAGAGCTTGGTGTACTGGGAAACAGCACACACACACACACACACACACACACACACACACATACACACACACGCACACACGCACACACGCACACACGCACACACGCACACAAACACACAATGCTGGAAGGGAAAAGAGAAGAAATTTGCGAGAGCAAGAATTCTCAATGGTTCTACTGTGCCCGAGGTGAGGATTTTGACTGAAGGCAGAGGATTATTGATTTTTACCTATATGTGTTAAATATGGCTGGGGTTGGGACTTGAACCATGTTGCAGAAACTGAACCTGACAGATACATAGGCTGTTTGGGAGACTGTCAAAATATCCTGTTTCAGGGAACAGTGCATACAATTTATTTGTGAGAAAAAAATATAAGGACCAATGCCTATTTTAAAATAACATTGAAAGAAATTAATATATATTTTTCTAGCTGAAATACTGAAAATTTAAAATTAGAATAAAGATTTTCAGATCTGGGGAAAAGGTTTTTTTTTTCCATAAATTTCACAGAAAGGTGGGAGTGAAATTAAGATAAATGTATACCTTTAGTTTGTACGCATGCTGGATGAAGTAAATTAAATTTAAATAAAATAGCCCATAGATATGCAAGATTAAAAACAAAATGTAAGCAAACAATTATATGTCTAAAGGAGGCGAGATTTATTAAGATTTTATTCTTGTTGCACCCTCACTAATTTCTTTCACTTACTTTTACTCTGTATGATTCCTCTGGTTTCACAGTCTACACTAGTGTCATGATGTAATTAACACACATTTTCAAGAGTTCATCCATTGCTCACTACTACAATGCCTTTAATGTGCAAGTGTGCAAATGGCTGGGACTGACAAGGAGGCCATGCTGTGGATATCGCTGAATGGATGGATGAATGAGCAGACGCGTTCTCTGCGTTCTGATTCTTGCTGGTTTCCGTCACTTACAACTCTGAATACACAGCGGGACTGTCCCATGATGCCTCACCAAGAACCGGTGTGTCAGAAGCAGTGTGTCCTCCAGGAAGAAGTATGCAAAAGGGAGTCGGTCTCAGCTCCCACCTGCAGTCTATACTGTGAGCCTAAGTAGTTGTTGTTGGGAGCATTTAAAGGTTAATTGTCACAGTACACTGTATCCATTAAATGTTAACTTCTATTTGTGTGGATTTGGCTAAGTGGACTTATTTCAAGCAGTAAGAAAATGGGTAGATTGGCTTTTTAAAAAGTGCTTTGATATGCTCCACCTCAAAGCTGAATCAGTGTAATCTCAGCAGACTGAAAGCAAAAGCCATCTTTCAATATCAGTTTTGTTTTCCTTTAGTCTTAATGTAAATCATTCATATATATATTTATATGAATATATCTCAAAACAAAGCAACCAGGGCACTTGAACAATAGTGCGTAAACAAGTATTTAAGGCCAATTCACTGACCAAAGCAAACAGTGTGTAAGGTTTGAAAGCTAACAGCTGATTTTAGATATATCACAGGATGGCATCAGCTTCATTTGGTCAAAAAAAAAAAAATACTTAGCTAAAGGAAATGGCGCGTTTAAGTTGTTTTGTTTTTTTTTTTTAACAGCATAATAACACTTGAAAAAAATATTAAAGACAATTTGCTTTGCTCCAGTTTGTCTGCCTGCGGTCCGCGAGGGGGAATAATGGGGCTGATTGCAATCAAGGCTGTCTTGTGAGACCTAACAAAAAAGAAGGAAGCCCTACTCCGCTCCACATCTTTGAAATGAACAGTCTGTTCTGTCTTTGTTTCACAGATTTACTTACGTTTCTTGGACTATGAGATGCAGAATTCAAATGAGTGCAAACGGAACTTTGTGGCGGTGTATGACGGAAGCAGCTCCGTGGAGGACTTGAAGGCCAAGTTCTGCAGCACGGTGGCCAATGATGTGATGCTGCGAACGGGCCTGGGCGTGATCCGCATGTGGGCAGACGAGGGCAGCCGGAACAGCAGGTTCCAGATGCTCTTCACATCCTTTCAAGAACGTAAGGTCCCCTTGCCTGACTGTCTGCCCTTCAGAAGTGTCCCGAGCTGCAAGGAGCCTCGGCTGTTAATGCGGTTTTCTTCATGCAGCCCGGGCACAGCAGGCTGTTCCTAATAAGTTCTTGACACAACTGAGGCTCCTTCCCCTAGTTTTGATGCAGTGATAAGTGAGAGTTATACGTTCTTCCATACATGCATCTTAGCCTTGCTTAGTTAAGTGCAAGCCCTTCCACTGGGAAACGATGGATTTTGTTTGTCTTCGGTTTAGCTCTTCTCGAGTGCATGGAGGCTCTGCTGAGGTTTTTGATAAAGCTTGAGTTTAAATGTCATTTTTCAAAACTGCATAAAATTTTTGATATGTTGGCTTTTGTAAGCTTCTTTTGCGGTCTGATTTAATCTGAACAAGCTTGCAAATCCAAAGCCACAATTAAAGTAAGGGGAGAGAGAGCTTCGTGGGAAGACAGAATTAGGGGAAAATTCAGAAGATCTCTAAGTCACATATTATATAAAGTTACTGCAAAGCACAGAGGTTTGTTTTTCCCTCTTTGGAAATTACCATTCAATAAACAATGAGCTGCATCAACAGATATATTAGGACATTCCTAGGGAACCTTGGCCATTTCACGGTTCACAAAAATAAGCAAATAAAAACACAGGAAATTCAGATTTAAAGGGAAAGAGTGTTATATTTCCAAGGTGTGCATATTTGTTTAAATAGGAAAAAGAATTTGGAGCCTTCTAAGACATCTCTTATAAACATCACAAGGCCTAAGGTTTTTAAGTTCGCAGTTGTTAAATTTTTTAGGTGATTATTTTATAAAACACACAAATGCTTTTGGCTTTAAATTCCTTTCTAATTAACCAGCGGGGGGGGGGGGATTCTGTAAACCAAACTCCTTGAATGTCACTCGGCCTGTCTAAATAGTGCCAGGGACTTCAAGAGAGTTAGCGACCCTGCCCTGCTGTGGGTTGTTTATGCTGCAATGTCCATCGCCATCTCAGTGCTTGACTGAAATGCTGGAGGTCCTGGGTCCTTATTTCAGTTAGGCACTAAAAAACTCATATTTCCTAGATTAGAATATAAAGGAATTCTTAGTGGACTTTTTGGTGGCTTATGCCTTATACCTCAGTCACATTTCTTGCAGTGTGCCCTCGATAAGGCCTTTAAGAGTCTGCATTTTAAAAGTACTAATTACAATTTGTATGTGTTGAGGGGTGCAGTTACTATGAGATCTAACAGTCATTTCGTCAACGTCCTGTTTACACAGCACCTTGTACAGTTGCCAGGTGTAGCATGGAGGTTCGCAGTGTTTGCGCATTGCAGAGCTGTTGCACGTAGTCAGGCCTGATCTTTGGTTCTCTTGTGAAATGCTAAGACAGGAATAGTACCTGTGCCCACTACAGAAAGAACATTCTCAGGTACTATTCCTACTGATGGGCTGGAAATAACCGCGACATTGTGTGATGATTTTGTATTTGGGTTACTGTTAAAGTCTGCGTGATATGTATGCATGAATCGCAGCATACGTGGCAATCAGAGGACAATACTATGCAGTTGGGTCTTTCCTTGCAGGGATCAAACTTAGATCACCAGGGCTTGTGTGATGTTCTGTTGATGCTCTAACCCAGACTACAGTGTGAATATTTTTAAATATTCTTTTCAATTTTGAATCATGACCTACTGAAATCCCCTATAGAATTTAACAGTCAAAAATCTAGAATATCAAACTACTAAGGATCTCTTACATATCATGAAAAAATGCTATTTTTAGCTACTGCACTGTAAAATTTAATACTGACAAATGAGAAATATGTTGACAAATTTAAAACATCCACTGTGGTTCAAGGGTTTATTGCACTCAAGTGCAGTATAAGTGAGACTCCATTTTAGAGGGAAACACGTTCACCTGTATTTTAGAGGGAAACATGTTCACCTGTATTATTTCAGAGGGTAACACGTTCACCTGTATTTTAGAGGTTATGGTAGCAGGCGTATGGGATGTCGCACTGATGGAAATGAAAACCTCATAGTTAAACTTTTGGTACTTTCGTATGAAGAGTGACCCATTGGAAAACTTGACAGCATGTGAGATAGCAAGAATTGCCGCTGACACCTAAGGTCCGCTTTACCTCTACAATGGATTATTAAATTCCATGGGTGTCTGTAAATCCGCATGAATATGAGAAACAGTACGTTATGCCATGGTGCGCACATATCCCATAGGTGTGTTCAAGGTAAAATAGAGTGTTTCAGTGCCTGTGACTGTGTGAGCAAGTGAAGCCACTGAGTGAACATCTGTATCAATTAGCAGTGCATAGAATACGATGCTCCGTCAACATGCAAAGGAGCATCAACCCGAGCGGCAGGCTACCGGCTACCGCAGGCATCCACACTCTGGGCATGATGAGCGTTATAATGACAGTTTCTGAGATCACTGCATCCATTTGCAATAAGATTTTGCCAAAGTTGTGGTGTGTGGTCAGGGTTTTCTTGCCTATTATGCTGAGTTTTCTCTGTTGTTGCACAAAGTATGTTCAGTTTGTCAATTGAAAGTTAGGTGATTTCTATTAATTCTTCAAATTTCATCTGTTAAGAATCTATTAACCAATGTGAATCCTTTAGGTTGTGGAACCAGTGTAGAATGGTTAGATTTCAAAGACAAACACTCATGGATGGGCTTGGGTTCCATGGACAGTATCCTCAGAAAGAGGTTCTGTTCTTTCTCCCTTCATGTGAGGATAATGTGTGGAAATGATAGATTCACCCATCAACTCATTCTAGCCATCCACTAAGTATGTTGGTAAATTAGGCATGGACTTTTCTAGAACTCTACAAAGCTAATGCCTCTTGCTTATAAGTAACCCAATTACTATAACAATGTAAGTACATTAAATATCCATAAGGATTTCTGTCATGGTGCTTTGCTTTTCTTCATTGACTATTAGTGTTCAGAATTCTGTTTGTGTACCAAGAGGGAAGTCAGTGTGCAATGAGCTGGGTGTGTGCTGATGTTTTCAATGGAATCATGCTCTCCTAGACAAGGTGTGGAAACTATAAGAAAATGCAATGTGGATTTTAGTTTGGAATAATTCTGTTGGTCCCTGTATAAGCATTGAAGAAGGTTCTTCTCTCACTGTCCCTTTTTGCAACATTAGTATTAGCAGCAAATTTGAAATTGCATTGTGAACACTGGTGATTACTGTGGTTATGTGTGTGTGTGTGTGTGTGTGTGTGTGTGTGTACTGTATTATTCTGTTTTCTTTTGCTAATAACACAATATGTAGAGACTGAATATGTCATGAAGGAAAGAGGCAAGTTTAGGCTTTAGAACAATGAAAGTGCAGAGTTTATGCCTGTTCTGGGGATGGATGATTTGCTGTCAGTGTCCAAAAGTGGCACAAAGTGCCACATGGCAGCAAATAATACCACATGTGTAGCTGCATGTGTGAGTGTGCACATACATTCTGACACATGTGTATAGGTATATGACATTACATGTGTACCTGTCTGTGTGTACCCTGTCTCTTTCCTGCTTTATATGGAGCCTCCAGGAGTCAGTTATGGGCCTCTGCACTAATGGCTATTCCATCATAATCACCTCCCAAAGACTCCACTTCTACAACCCAGCCAGAGTAAATCAGTCTCCATCTTCTAAATACCTCACCTTAGAAATTAAACCCCAGCCTGAGGACACGAATACTGTCCAAACAGCAGCCATAGGTATACAGATTGGCATCACAAACTGTGTAATGTAATTGCATGCCTAAATAAATGTGTACCTGATGACATGCATTTAGTATGTAACGTAGGTTTTGCCTCTCCAAAGTCCATATACTGAGACTATCATCTGCAGGATGATAGAGTGAAGATGTTACCATGGGTCATCTCACCCATTATGGGGCATGAGTGACTTACTCAGTCCCAGATCTCTCTGCACTCCACATGGCTGGATCTACAGGACTTTGAAACTGAGCAACTGGGCCGTCAGCAGACAACAGCTTTGCTGATGCCTTGATGTTTGTGTTCCCAGATCCAGAACTCTGAGAAAAACATTTGTGTTGATCATAGACCATCTAGAAAATGGTGTTTTGCTTTGTTTTGATTTTTAGGGTTCCCAAATGGACTAAGATAGAGGGAATTCAGAAATATCTGTCAAGAAAGACAAAAACTTTCTAAGTAAAAGTAGGGTTTAGAGATCATCTATTGCAACTTCATGTTATGAGCTCAGGCAAAAGCAGGTAAATGTCCAGAGAAATCACTCTTTCCTGCACATTTCCATTCTAGTCTTGGTGACATGTTAATCGAGTACAGGCAAGAACTGAACATCTGACTCTTGTTGTAATTTTGCTACCTTTGAGTCATTCTGCGTTAGAACTCTTCTAAAGAGGACACAGATGGAAAGGATGATGAAAATAGGTTTCCAGTAAAGTTTGGTCAGCAGAGTTCTACCTGATTTTCAAACCTGATTTGATCCTTTGACTCCTTCATGTGAAAATTCCAGCTGCATGGCACGCGCAAATGAAAAAATCTGAGAGCATAACATGCCACTATCACATTACACTCAGACAGAAGTAAAATTGAAATGAATACAATCTAAAGGAACTCCCAATGTGATCACTGATAAATACCAACACATATCCTTTTAAATCATTAAACGTTTATCTCTTCTCATCTGAATTGGCTGCAGTAAAGAGAAAAATGAGGATGAGGGTTCATCGCCATGCGGGCAGATGTTAAGTCTGCACGAGCCCATTAGAAACTTATTTACAAAGCCTGTCCTGCATGACCATAGCTGCCACGGCAGCAACACTCGCCAGCAGGAGACCCAGCATCCGAGAAATGGAAAAGGGTTTCCCCGCAGGGAAGGCTGGGAAATCACCCCCCTGGTCCCTGGCTTCACGGGGCAGAAAAAGCACTGTCCTCTCCAGTCCTTGCCCTCTCACCAGAGACATTGCCAGAATTGTGGCATGTGCTACTGTCTGTGACAACGAACACTTTGTT